AGAGAATCAGAGAAACATTGATGTGAGAGACAGAAACATTGATTGGTTGCCTCCCATTTGTGCTCTGACCAGGGATTGAACCCACAACCTAGGTTTGTGCCCTGACTGGGAATCAAACTGGCAACCTTTCTTGGTATATGGGATGATGCTTCAAACAAATGAGCCACCTGGCCAGGAAAAAATACAGTTTATTTTTACATATTGACCTTATAATTTGATACATGCTCAATTTACCTCTTGGATTAAATAGTTTTTATAGACTTATTTAAATACTATAACAATATAACTTTGTCATCTGCAAATAAAGCACTTTTACTTCTTTTTTTCTCAGATTTTGTGCCTTTTATTTTTTCTTGCCTTATTACATAAGCTAGAACCTCCAGTGTAGTTAGATAGAAGTGATGAAAATGGATATCCTCTCCTTAGTCCCAACCTTAAAAAGAAAGTCTTCACAATTTCATTATTAAGCATGATATTTTTTTAAATATTTATTGTTGAAAGTATTATACATGTTCCCTTTTTCCCTCATTGATCTTTTATACCCCACCCCCAGCGTTTGCCCCAGGCCTCCACCATCCTTTTATCTGTGTCCATGGGTTATGCAAATATGCATACAAGTTCTTTGGTTGATCTCTTCCACCCACCCCCCCACACACACATTTCTTCTGACATTTCACAATCTGCTTCATGCTTCTATGGTTCTGGATCTATTTTGTTCAACAGTTTATTTTGTTCATTAGATTCCACATATGAGTGAGATCATGTGATACTTATCTTTCTCTGATTGGCTTATTTTGCTTAGCGTAAAGCTGTACAGATCCCTCCATACTGTCTCAAAGGGTAGGAGATCTTTCTTTTTTATTGCTACACTAGAGGCCTATTGCACAAAGAGATTTGTGCAATAGGCCTTCCTTTCCCCTGGCTGCTGGCACCGGTTTTCCTCTGGCACCTGGCACCCAGGCCTTCGCTCTGGCCAGGCTCCGGCCGGAGCCGGCCCTGGGGCCGGTGGCGCCATGAAGCCTCATGGTCCTGGGGCTGGCGGCCCAGTGAAGCCTTATGGCCCTGGGGCCAGCAGCGCTGCTCTGCCCCAGGTTGGCAGGCTTCGCTCCACCGCTTGGAGCCTACGTATGCAAATTAACCGCCATCTTTGTTAGGGTAATATGCATACTCTCCTGATTGTGTTAGGGTAATATGCATACTCTCCTGATTGGCTGGTTAGCATAGTGAAGGTATGGTCAATTTACACGTTTGTCTATTATTAGGTAAGATAGTATTCCATGGACATCCTCACCAGCACTTGTCATTTGTTGATTTGTTAACAGGTGTGAGGTGATACCTCATTATCATTTTAGTTTGCATCTCTCTGATGATCAGTGAATTTGAGCATTTTTTCATATGTCTCTTGGTCATCTGTATGTCAGCTTGAGAGAGGGGTCTATTTAGGTCCTTTGTCCATTTTTTAATTGGATTGTTTATCTTCCTTTTGTTAAATTGTATGAGTTTCTTGTATATTTTGGATATTAACCCTCTATGTGATGTATCATTGCCAAATATGTGCTCCAATGCACTGGGCTCCCTTTTTGTTTTGTTGATGGTTTCTTTTGCTGTGCAGAAGCTTTTTCTTTTGATGTAGTCCCATTTGTTTATTTTCTCCTTAGTTTCTTTTGCCCTAAGAGATGTATCCATAAACATACTGCTATGAGAGATGTCTGAGATTTTGTTGCCTATGGTTTCTTCTAGGATTTTTATGGTTTCCCAACTTACATTTAAGTCTTCTACCCATTTTGAGTTTATTATGTACAATGTAAGTTGGTCTAGTTTCTTTTTTTTTTTTGCATGTATCTGTCCACTTTTCCCAGCACCATTTATTGAAGCGACTGTCTTGACTCCATTGTATGTTCTTGCCTCCTTTGTCAAATATTAAGTGTAATGTCTTAGGTCAATTTCTGGGTCCTCTGTTCTGTTCCATTGATCTATATGCCTGTTTTTGTGCCAGTACCAGGCTTTATTACAGTGGCTTTTATTTTTGATTAATCTGGTAGTATAACTTGGTATCTGGTATTGTGATCCCTCCAACTTTGTTCTTCTTTCCCAAAATTGCTGTGGCTATTCATAGTCTTTTTTGGTTTCATATAAATTTTTGGCGTCTTTTTTCTAGATCTGTGAAATATGCCATTGGTAGTTTAATAGGGGTCGAATTGAATCTATAGGTTGCTTTGGATAGTGTAGACATTTTAATGAAATTAATGCTACCAAGCCATGAACACGGTATATTCTTCTGCTTGTTTATATCTTCCTCTATCACTTTTTTCAATGTGTTATAATTTTCCTAGTACAAGTCTTTTACCTCTTTGGTTAAGTTTATTCCTAAGTATCAATTTTTTCTGTGTATACATTTTAAATAGATTTATCTGTAAGTTAGAGAAAAAGTTCCTTGCCTTTGTAACATTTCACAATCTTCTTCCAGTGTTACTTATCAGGGAGGAGTAAGACTTAAACTATCTCCCTTATTCCTAATCAGTGTTGTTCTTGGAAACAGCCTCCTGCCTTTTCCTTGCATGTATCCTGTTTGGGTTCTCATACCTAGCATTAATAGGTCAGAAACAGTCCCCAAATCTCAGTGATTCCTCATATCAATTAAAGAAAAAGCAAAAGGCCTGGTCAGTAAGCTCAGTGGTTAGAGTGTTGGCCTGCACACCTAAGGCTCCCGGGTTAGATTCCCAGTTCAAGGCACGTATCTGGGTTGCAAGATGATTCCCATCCCCAGTCAGGATGTGTGCAGGAGGCAACCAATCAATGTGTCTCTCACATCCATGTTTTTTTCTTTTCTCTCTCTCTCTTTCTCTCCCCACCCCTCCCTTCAACTCTTTCTAAAAAATCAATGGAAAAAAAAATATCCTTGGGTGAGGATTAATCCAAAAGGGGAAAAAAGGCAAAGAGTATTATAAGCATTTCTGTATTATCATGAATGGTTTTATTATAAGAGATAAGGAATTAAGTCTATAAATCACTTACTCTGTGAGGAAGAATATTAATCAAAATGGCTGTGACTCTGAGTCCTTTCTGCTTTAATCAGGATTCCAGAATAATTGACCCATATATAATTAAATCTACTCTGTCTACATAAGCAATTATTTAAATAGTTAGGAGACAGAATAAGAAAGCAATTGCCCAGTGCTTTTGAGGTCAATAGGTTAGCTCTACAGAGTTTAATTAAAATCTGGTAATAAACGCCCACTCTAGGCAAGATATTTCATTAGTCTTCATTATGGCCTAGATGAAATATTCTTCATAATTGTTTTTTATCCCCTTTAAATACTCTTCTCATGAAGCAGGCTTCTTATTACTAATTAGGATTCCCACACTGGGGAAGGAGATTCCCTCAAGCAGTCCCCTCATTAGAAAAGTATGGCCATCACCGTAAACGAATGAATTGGTATTCTATCTTATTTTTTACATATCCACACAATGAAGCCAAATTATAAACTTTAAAAAGGTATCAAAGGAAAACACCAGTTTGACAATGGCTATGATAAAATACAGTCACATTCTTTTTGCTATTAAATAATTTCTGTTTCTGGTTCTACCTTAAAATATGAGTGTTATTGAGAAAAATCAGGCTCCTTGGTAAGTAAAATTATATGTAGAAATTAGAAGGTAATAGGAATAATTATCTAAAACATTCTTTCATTTTTTTGGAGGGGGAGGAGGTTCAGAGGAAAACTATTTCCCCCCAAAGGAAGTAAAATCTATAACCACAAAGTAACTGGGAGGTTTGAATGCTGTGACACTATGTAGCTTCTTCTGTGCTTTCCCGTCCTTTCTTTATACTAGTACTAGAGGCCCAGTGCACGAAATTCGTGCATGGGAAGGTGGGGGTGGCCTCAGCCCAACCTGCACCCTCTCCAATCTGGGACCCCTTGGGGGATGTCCGACTGCCAGTTTAGGCCCAATCCCACAGGGACATCCCTCTCGGAATCTGGGACTGCTGGCTCCTAACCGCTCACTTGCTTGCCTGCCTGATCGCCCCTAACTGCCTCTGCCTGCCTGCCTC